ATTTCCTATAGTTTCCAGCAGTCGGAAAAGGTATTGGACTACTTTTACAGCCAGATATAGAACAAGACAAAATGCTGGAAGAATTTTGAACTCGGGCAAACTAACCTTCCCAAACTCGAGACACGGTAGTTCAGTTCCAGAATGCTGATTCGAAACAGCAACCTGCATCTTATCATTGCAGTCACCCCATGACCTACGTCATAACGATACTTTACTGCCTCAAGTTTTCACCACAGATCAGTAGTCGATGGTGTCGAACAATCTAGGTTTTTGAAGCAAAACAAACAAAAACCTGTAATTCTAAGGTACTGTGGTTCTTAAAAGGAGCCGCAGGTTATTTAATAAGACTTCAAAAAATTTAACCTGCATTTAAATTATCCAGTTCATGCACGGGTATCAGCGGGAACCAACAATAGTGACATTCATGCGCTTCAAAGATTTGCAACGCACCAAAGAATAGAGGATGACTTGCATTTGCAAGGCTTCATGGAGCAAAGTCAAGGTGAGCCGACTGTAAAATGTAATTGATGCGTAAGTATCCTGCTCGCACCACAAGCATTGTTCAGCCTTACATAACGTCACCCTTGAGCCACATTCAACATTTGACACACTTGTCATCACAGTGAGCGATGCGTATGATAAAACATCTGACTCCATGAATCTTTACAGAGAAAGTACTGACAGAAGGAAATATTACGGCATTAATATACGTTAAGGTCTTCAGTCAAACTGTTACGAAGTAAGATGTGATTTATTGCCATGTTTTAAAATCAAAGGAGACTTATAGAATGTCTTAATAACAGATTGACCTTTTTATCCAGTGGTAATACTGGTAAATGTTGATGTTGATGTTTGATGAGAAAAAAGCAAAGTAATTTAATATTTCTTTGACATGTACTGTAATTGTGGTGCTTTGATAAGGACTGATAGCAAATGCCCTATTGAGCGTGAACAAATCTATTTTTTACAGAGTGATTCTAATTACTGAATATTAAAAAAAAGAAGCATTTTAACTACTTTGTAAACTACAGGGTGAATCAAAAAGGACTTTACAACTTTGAAAATTCATATAAATCTTGGATTTGGGGAAAATAATTATTTGGGTATGAAAAAATAGCGAAAACCGTTAAAGATTTGGGAGAAATTTACAAAATTTTGAAAGTAGGGCGTTTTTTGACGGTGAAGGAGTGCGATTTAAAAAAAAAAAAAAAACGCATAATTAGTGTCTTGTAGGAAATTTAATTCCAAACCTACGTTTTTTCCTCAAATATTTTCTAGCTCCTACCGTTTTCAAGCTATAGCCGTTTGAAAAAACGTGTTTTTTCGTTTTCAGAGGTCCGTTATTTTGGATTTTTGGGGAGGTTAAAATTTGAAAATGCGACTTTTTGGAATTTTATGGGTGGTTTTGGACCAAGACCTACAAGTGTGCGAAATTTCAACTCCCTAGCACATCTAGAAGTGGGTGTATCGCACTCCTTCACCGTCAAAAAACGCCCTACTTTCAAAATTTTGTAAATTTCTCTCAAATTTTTAACGGTTTTCACTATTTTTAAAACCTAAATAATTATTTCCCCCAAATCCAACGGAAGTCACGTAGAACATCTTTAGTTTAAGGTAAAAAAACTTGAAGTGTTTTCCCTTAAAACAACACCAAAACCAGCTCTGTACCTTGTTTAATAAGATTTATATGAATTTTCAAAGTTGTAAAGTCCTTTCTGAATCATCCTGTATTTTGTGATTGTTGTTGGTTACGTTATGAGTTGATCGGGTTGACTTGTCTCTCTCTCTTATTTTAGGGTATTTCTGAGCTACTATTTGATACTTATACAGTACCAGAGATTAATTTACAAATCGATTGTTTGATTTCATTATACGCGAAAAAAGTTTTAAGTTAGTTAAATAACAGAAGAAATCAGTGAAAAAAATCTCCTGCACATATTACGGACAGATACACACAGGAATTTAATAATATTCAAGGTAGCCCCACCAATTAAATGACGTTCATAACTAATTTGAAGGTAATTTCATCAATACAACGTCCAAATATGACGAACACTGCATGAGTCGCAACTTAACAATGGAGATAACATACAGTCAAATTGATGCTTATAACCTCTAATAAGTCATGATAATGTCCGTTGGGAAGGAAAGCTGATAGAAAGTCCATGTCAAACTCTAGGTTGCGACTCGCTGAATGCTGATTATCGGCAATATCTAAGATCTGGCAAGCTTGAAGGCATCTCCGGTTGTCGCTACCAAAAAGGCTGACTACAATCTAACGTTCAATATAAACACCAAAACCTACTTGTTCTATTGGATTGTGCCTTGTGGTCGTGTAAAATAAAACGTGATTTTTTAACGATTTGTTATGATGGTCCGTCATTATTTTCGTTGGAATCGAGGAACAAACAATCATTTGGAAAAGTTAAGTTTAAGAACAATTTTGAAAGCTGGACTTTCCAACTGATAAATATAATATATTACAATTCTATTTTATGTTCCAAAATCATTTTCCTTAACCATGAGGTGATAATTTCGGCTGTTAACAAAGTGATGTATTGATTCAAAGGTTGAAAGTTTTTCTGTTAACAAATTCTGAACGTACAGTATTATGAAAGTCTACGTGGCGACGGGACGCCTGAAGCCGTTGGGAAGTTGCACCATCTAACTGTAGGACTTGGGCCACCTATTACCAAAACTGGCTACGGCCGAGTGCACAGACGCAATATCCCATGATAGTGCAAAATCCCAGATTCTCTCGTCTACGTAGGTCTATTTCATTGTAACCGGCTTACGTCTTGCGTAATATAAAGGAATATTAGTTTTCATACAGATAACCTTTCTTTAAGTTTTATTGCACCGGGGAGGTATCAACGAATAGATTCACCACCGGAATTTGAGTTAACATTCTGCAAATAACCAATCAGTTTAAAGGTATTAAGCAGAAGAATCAATAGGGGTTCATGTCGGAATCTTATGCTCTCATTCTGCAGATAATACTTAAGTTTCATTAATACTTCAATACTTTTTAATTGAAATGGCAACCCTACGAAGGTAGGATTCTTCAGATAACTATAAATGGAGATGAGTGTAGTATGAGTGGCGTGATCTTGTAGTCTTGTTACTAAGGTCGACATCTTCCTTAAGACAGGACTGTTAATATACAGCCAATGGCGACTAAGTGACCTACAGTTTATAGTGGAATCATTGAGTAACTCTAGCTGTAACACTAGGTATTAAAGAGAATGTGTATAGCTCAAGTCTATGAAACCTATGGCATAACACAACACACAGGCCATTACCAAAACAAAAACCAAAATTTTTAGGACCAATTCCAAATCGGTAAATGTTCTACCGCAAACATCAGGTTACAAATACACTGGAATGTTATACAGTAGCACGAAATTAAAGACTTGGAATGCGAACCTCCAGTTTTTACGAAATGTGTAATAAATTTTAAATGCTTGACCACCGTGCTTTCCCCATGTCAAGGTGATCAGGTAGGTTTAGGTATTTTACAATTTGCAAATAAATTCTACTGGCTAGCCTGTGACCAATTTGTACTTTCCACTTTCTCATTCCTGTATTCTCTTTCTCTGGAGACGAGTTATCTCCTATTCGCACCATAAACTGTGATAAATGTCCGGATGTCTGGACCTAGATGGTTGTCAAACCAGGAGAGTAGTACTATTTGTGTGACATTTACATTTGGAATTTATACAATGATGGCGGATGTGTTTTAGGAAAAAAATAGGACAACTGTTTTGTTATGTAAAACTGAATTTACGCTAAATGTAGCTGTCAAAAGTATTACCTTTGACTATTAATACAACGTCAATGGTATTACATAAGTTCAAAATATATTTATATACACAAAATGTTAGGAGTTTTGATTTATATTGTCAGTTATTAGTTTAATTAGAGTTAAACTCCTCGAATGTTACCGTTAGATTTTCGATACCATTGTATCCTTGAGTCAAAGCGTAACCATTGATTAATTAGTATGTATTACCTGTATTTGATATACATTATGTAAGCTATATAAACAAAAATCATGTATGTTATGCAGGGTGACAAAGGACGATTTTATAGCTTTAAAACAAAAAGAGAGATAACCATAACCAAATTTGGTATATCAACTGGTACCAACTGGTAATAGTTAGCAACTTTTTTGTGTAAATGGTGATCGGATGTCACCTATGGGGGACGGCCCATAGGGACTAAGCTGAAAATCTTAAGGGTAAGCATAAGTTGATATATACATCAAATTAAAGGTCTTGATCAGCAGAAAACAATGCCGTAAACAAATCAAATGGACAACTGAGTCAAAAATGACTGCCGTTCAAAGATTTCTTAAATTTTATATCTTTTTGCATTTTTAAAATGGCTGCCATATTTTACTCAGTTGTTATTTTGAGCTCAAATTTGCGGAATTGTTTTTTACTAATAAAGACCTTTAATTTTATGTGAATATCGAGCTATCCTTACCTTTAAGATTTGAAGCTTACTCCCTATGGGCCGTCCCACATAGGTGACATACGGTCACCATGCACACAAAAAAGTAGATTACTATTACCAGTCATGATATCCTAAATTTGGTAATGACATCGCTTTTCGTTTTAAAGTTATAAAGTCGTCCTAAGACTTAATTGTCACCCTATTAATGTTTAATCAGTATTACTTCATCCGTAGCTGAACTCAAATGAACTCAGTGTGTTGCGACCACTGGATGAAACTGAAGATGTAGTTTTTCGTTTATGTGTAATTTAAGATCCCAATAAGTTTTTCTCTTGAAATGACAACTAGATCTCTTCTAATGCACCTATACAACGTGTAAATACTCTTCTACAAAGTATGTCAGTTTTGACTCATAGATCATCGAACCTTAGGATTAGGTAATATCATATAATACTTTTTTATGTCACTGCCTGTTTTTGATACTTAATAGTTTAGTTTCTACAAACAAATCTCCAACAGCTATAGTCAATAAATGAACTTACCTTAGAGTCGTTCTTCAAGCACCAGAGGACGATCTTGGGCGCACAACCCGAGACCTACAAAAAAGTTGAACTCAGTAACACATATGAAACGGTAAATAATTTTACGAATTCCCGATTATAAATCTAACACTGATTCAACAACTCAAAAGTCAACTTGCACTGTGTAAACCACAATTATTGTGACAACGGTAGATTAGTTTAGACTCCTCGCAGGACCAGCGTCCGACTCTCTGTTTGTCCGACTTTCCACATCCGACAGCAGCGAACCTGTCGGTCAAGGAGAACAACTCTGGTCCTTATGGCATGCTTATTACAGGACTGGGTGATTCGGTATGTTATATGCGGTAATCGCATTGCTTTAGGGCGAAATAAATATTCAGGTCACTGTCCGAGTGATCGCGTTTGTTTTGGTTCTCGAAGACCTCTTCTACATTTAGTTTTACTTAAACGTAGAAAGAGGCAAGACACATGAGTTGTAAATGCGTAAACCTTAGTTTTAGGAGTAAATAGTAAAAACTGCAAGAGACCAATAACCATATAGTTTGTTGTTCAAAATTATTTTACGGACATAATGTAAATGTAATAATAAACAATTTAAATGGATTCTGAATTGTGAATCCATTAGATTGTCAGTATATAGAATACTGAGAGTTGATGTAATTGATTAAAATTAAACGTAACCTCATAGTTTTAACATCCTTAAGGATTACCCGAAGACAATTTGAAGGTACTGTATCTTCCTGTGCCGTATATTTAGAGGGTTGTTTGATATGGCTCTATTTCTTTGTTTTTCACTAACATTAAAGGAATTTTCACTGGATGAATCAATCTATTTTATGAACTGTTCTATGGTATTAAAGAGAAAGATTGAATTTACCTTAATAATGAGAAAGAAACATGCATTTGAAACGAGTGCAGGAAAACGTAAGTGGATATAAAACATACATCAAAACACGCGTAGACCATACTACAGTATGAAAAGTTTAATTGTAGTGTCAAAAGTTAAAGGTTTTACAATCAAGAAGGTACCAGCTGAGTTAGAACATTGTAAGGCACCATTCCCTCTTCAGGGTGGCACTAAAAAATTAGCACAACCATAAAGGCCGATTACAAATTTGACCCAAAGAAGCTCTGTAAAGGCAAACCTGTATATTCAATTCCCGAATGAGGTTTCATGTATGCTATTCAGATTTTAAGAAAAATTTCGAACTTTAAGGTCTGACAGAAATGTGCAGTCCAAACAGTGCCAAAAATAGTAAATTTTTTTGTAAAAATAATAAAAAATAGTAAGTTTAGGCACCCATTAAGTTAGTCTTCTGAATGTTATTTATGCTATAAAAAACCAGATTTCATATTTTTTGGGGATCTGATCTAGAAAGGGAAAGTACCGGACAATTGTTAAGTATAAATAAAAAAAAGTTTTTGATGTATAAATTTGCAGTATATTCTGTGTTTATAGCCAGGGTAGAAATAATATAAACCAATATGAATATTTTTACATCCAACCTAAAGGTCAATAGTTTATGATTATATACCACCATAAAACTCTAGTCTATGATTTTGCTTAAAGATGAATCAACCTCACCGTAACGTTCGTAATAAATGGAGCACTCTCTGGCTTGGTAATAAACTGAAACGTAATAAAATCACTGAGAGTGCTTAACCACTGTTAAATGATGATATCCTCCTTTTACAGCCTGTTTCATGATACAAGACTTGATTTTGCTTTATATAACATCGGTGTAAAAGAAAAATATTAAGTATTATTTTATACACACCTAATGAAGTGTGTGTATGTGCTATGCTTGTAATTAATTACATTTTAATGGATAACTATTAGGCAAATAAGAGTAAAAAACTAAGCTTGACAAAAGTAAATTTGTTCATCAGAATCCTGCTACAGTATTTTTTGTCATTCATCAGTTTGTGGTTTACATAATGCACAAAATTTCATTTTAGCAAGGGCAACTAACTGCTAATCCCATTTCTTCACTCTCATCGCCCAAATTTGTAACACACCACGCTGTACCTATTCGGAAAAAAGAATAAATAAACATAATAACGATAAGGAAATAGTTTTTAATAGTTAATCAATATATACACATTAATTTCAATTACTTTTTTTAATGAGTTCAATTCAAATATAACTGACAAGTTACAACACCCAATACAGCTGTTTAACCAATTAAAACTCAATTTTTCGAATCTGAAATCCTTATATTTTTCTCATTAATTTTTATGCAGAATAACAAGATATTACTATCACAAAACATTACTACTTTATACACACTCTATATATTACATGATTTATAAGGACACTTTTAGGGGAATACTAATAAACATAATATAAAATTAACTGCATGGAAATAAAGCTAAACATATTTATCTTTTTATATAACAATAATGTACATGTTACAGTTATTTGTAATTATATATAACCACATATGTAAAGAATATACGGTAATATACAAATTTAGTAGTGCAAGGATAGCAGAAACGATACGTTTTTTAGCGGTTGGGATCACTGGCTTTCAGAAGACGTTGTTTTGACTGTAACCCGAAGACGCCCGATTACTTTCTCACGTGTTCGAAATTTCAAATCAGCTGTGAAGGCGAACCAGCTGTTGCGATAGATCAGCTGATGGCGGCAAACGGAGGCTTAATTTATGGCACCTTTCAACTGGACCGATGTGACTGAATGTGATTTCAACATATTGGTCGGAGCTATTTAAATGATGTTCGAATTTTTATGTCGTTGTTTAGAAATAAGGCAAGAAAAACAGTTGGTGAAATATAACTAAGGAGGAACAAATAAACTTAAAACAACCTAAAATAACAGTTAATTTAGAAGGCTCGTCTAGTCTCGTTTTTTAAGAGGACATTTTGTTCTCTAGGCCCGAGTTGAAATCCCTCCAATCATAAATGACGTTTAAATATGCGATAGAGCTTTATCTCGGTAATTTATAGCACTCTTAAGATCAAGATCCACTTATATGGATACAAAAAATTGGTCTCTCGACGACGAACGTTTTCTGTATAAAGGACTCCCTCTTCTAAACTCCATAAGATTGTTGGATTTTAATTTGTTGCTTCTGACGATTTAACCAAAGGATTTTAGCTCCTTGTACACTGTACAGTATACAAGATACGTGGAGGTCCACTACCAGTAGTTACCCACGTGAGTGTTTATATTCCTTAGAAATTGTAAATAAGCTTAAAATATCGTCGGTGAAATCAGCTAATTGGTGTTGATTTAGAGGAAATGCATCTTTGTACTTCATTTAAGTATCAATATTTTAAAATGAAGACCCAAAAATACATTTCGTGAACCAAGTTTCCTGCTTGGTTACGAAAATAAACATGTTTTAGCGAATTTCCCTATAGGGAAGTAGCTATTACCGTAGGTGGCACGGTAAGACCTAGGCCCGGGACCGATTTACTTTTTCATTTTCATGTCCCCAGGGGCCAAAAACGCAATTCGTTTAAATATATATGTATATATGTATATATATATGTATATACGTCCGTGAACGCGATAACTTGAGTAATTTTTGTCTGATTTTGATGAAATTTGGTTCTAAGGTGTAAGGCAGGATAAACATGGATGAGTTCGCGAACCAGCATGATCGGACCATGGGAACGGGGTTTTACGGGGGGTTTTATGGGGTAAAAAAATGGTTTTTCTAATTTTTGACCCTCAAAACACAAAATTTCCCAATTTCTCTCTAGACCTTTTTAAAGAGCTTAAAAAAAAACAAATAATTTAGTATATCAAAGTGTTTTTGCACTGTTATTAGCAACGGAGAAGATTCAAAAAAATTATAAATTTAAAATTCCAATGTTATTCTTATGGAAAATATTGTAAAATGTTGTAGTTTGCTTGCTTATGGATATATTTTGATAAAACTTGGCAAATTATTTATTTTACACTAAGCTATTAATATTTTACTAAAAACCCCCACAGTACTTTCCTTGTAGCAGCAAACCTAGGTACTCGTTAAACCTAATGTTATTTAAATAGATTTAATTAAAAATCAATCCAGACAAATGGAAATTCGCTTAGTCGGCAGGTTTGCTGTGGCGGGGGTATTTACTTATGTTTGGTTATACTATCTAAGGTAGATATTAGCTAAATTTGGATATATTTGACACGACAACGACATAATGCCTTAACCTCTGAACATCACTATTAGTGAACCAGCATAAGAGAGGTTGGATATTGTTTTAAAGCAAAAGCAAGTGCCCAAGTAATTATTCAATTAATGTTTAGGAGCTGAGGACCACTTTCTCTCGCAGCGTCCGGCAGTTCTCAGTTATAAATCTTGATCTAATTTTGGTGAATGCTAACCACCTGTTATAACCAGTAGAGATAAGCTGAACTGCTGATATCTTAGAGTACAAATTAATGGTTCTGTCGCGAATGGAGTTTCGCAATACTTCTCTGTCGTTGAATACGTTATTTATTATTCGCGATGTCAGTTGGATACATTTCATTTTTTTATTATTATTTACATTACCAGTAAACTCTTTTTTACTTTCTGTACACAGAGTTCATATTTTTTACATTACTGTAGGTCTCTTGTTCGTACAACTCTTTTCTGTTTGTTTAAAGCTACATGAACAGATTTTTATTGTATATTTTATTTTATAATCCTTATTCTTCTGTGCTGACGGTGTGTTGAGCTTTTGATAATACGTAGTTGTGTTGCCACTGTTTGTAAAATATCTTGCTGAATATGTATTCACAGATAATTACTAATAACCAACTTAATGAAGTATGTTATTTTTCACATTCATGTTTATATGCTTTTCCATAATTTGTTTTTATATCATTCACATTTTTCTATTTAGCGTGAATACATAATTGTTATTGTTTGAAAATAAACAATTACAAAATATAAACTATGGTTAAAATAAAAAGAACATTTTCTGCATTACTGAATTGATTTACTTTAAGAAACTTCGCAGACATAAGCAAGTGCTGCCTGTGCGTCTGCTGGGTTGCTATTTAAAACATTGTTTCATTATGGTGTTCCTATGCTATAATATCTTTCCATCTTTATGTCTGTATACTAATTTTGTTTCCTTATAGGATGGTTTTTGAACTATATGAAATTTTTAATAACCATAAATAGTATAATAATGTTGTTTTGTTATTAAGTTAGACTAA